TTAAACCACAAAGTTTAGTTAAAAAGTCACCTTATGAACAATGACTGAGGATACAAAAAAGGTCAGATTTGATATATCCAAATAATTTGATGACGTGTGAAATGAAGAATTTTCGTGTTTCCTGCCAGTTTTAAATAATTGGCAAACACCTTGGAATATTCTTTAGTGGAGTCACCATATTTACAGCATGAGGTTGGTCTTTTCTGTTTTGACGTCTTTATTCAGAAATAAAGGTTTTAGTTCATTGTGCTCCATAATTTCTCCATATTTTGCAGATCACCCCAATCACTTCTCTCAGTTGAAACGGTCGAGTTAATAACATGTCATCATTTTGGGTGATGAATGACATCAACGTAGGCTGGACTTTTTGTTTATAAACCAAATCATAAATGCAAACTTTTTCTATATTAAGATTGGTCTACCTGCTTCTTATTTATATAGTGATAACGTTTACTGTTATTCACATGGGAGATTACTGTATGTTCTTTAAATGGAAAGTTTAAAAGGTATCTTTAAAGAAAAAACAAAAATTATAATGAAACACAAAATAATCACTATGTATAATATAAAAATAATAAATTATGTAATTTTTACAGAGAATGATTCTGTGGCCTGTTTATATATAGCCTTAGGGATTATAGGTTTTTTTTGAGGGGAGAGTCACAAGCTTTATTATACAGTAAAATCATAGCCAAATATAATTCCCTGTCTTAATGCTTTGATTAGGAAAATAAATAAGCAATTTTGAAAGGGATGACAAGAGAAATATTCAATGCATTAAACTTCCAACATTGAGACTTATTTTTCTTAATATTTTGATTGATATCTATCATATGCATTAAAATCCAATAGATTATTTTTGAGGGAAAAAATTCATAAAATTGAATAAATCCACCACCTTGTACAGTAAATAAGGGGTTCTATGCACAGTAGTGCAACTCACAACTAAATTTCAGGAGAAAATGCCTCATTTTTACCCTCTGGTGAAAAGATCAGGCATAACTTTGCTCTTTGGAGAGGTTTCTCATGTCCAGGTGCGTTTAGAAAAAATTATTGCTAATTTGAGATTAAAATATTTTTATGTGAATCTATCAATAGCAAGTCATTTCTAGTGTCTCAGTATATAATTCTTCTAATCAATTCCTCCTGCCAGGAGTATATTTAAATCATTTCATGTACGAAGAAGCTCTCTTAAACATCATCCACTTAATTTTTCAATCACTGTTTCTAGTATTCAAAATGTTTGCATTCAATAAATCATTAAGTCTTACTTCAGCCCTTAATTTAGTACTATCTTTTTTTCAAGTCTTTGTAGCATGATATTGTCATGCTACCAAATCAAATCCCGGTTTCCTGTGATGAACAGGGTGAAAGTGAAAATGACTTTTTACTTAGATGAGGAAACATTTGAACTGAATATTAATTAACTGCCACTGTTCAAATACACATCTTTTGGTTAACTGTTAATGACAGATGACAAGTAATTACTAATACATCTTTTATTCAGTTCCCATTCATCTTAATTAACAGAATATTGAGTAACTATATAAGTCTTTAATGAAACAGAGAACTCTTACCTAAAACGGTATCACTGAATAACACTGGAAATAGAATTTAGTTTAATTAGCTCTGCTTCCCATGTAAAGCATAAACTCATTATTTTCATGTAAATAATGGGTCTTTAAAGCAGGTTCAGATGAATTATATCCTGAGCCATGTCACTGAATTTACTATTAATTGCTATGTCATAAGGTTTTTTGAGCAATGTTAAAGAAAATACTTTCCTCTAAAAGTTAAAATACAACAGAGTTTTATTGATTTTGCATCCCAATATCATTATTTCTCTATGCTTTAACATTTTTGTTTCACTATTATTTAATTCCATGGGGTCTTACTTTATTTTACCTTCAGTTCTTTTGAATCATTTATCATTGACAGTGATACATTTTTAGCTGAAAGGTTACATAAGTTTAGATCGATTAAAGTACCTCAGAACAACTGGAGTTTCTTTAAGAACAAGTTGTGAAGGAAACAGATCTCTGCATATTTTTTTAAATTTAATAGAGGTTTAAATGACTTTCTTAAATCTTTATCCACTCCAGTTGTTTTTGTTTTTTCTTAATTAGCAGGCATTTACATTACCTGGCTATTATCACAACTAAGGTGTCAAAAAATCACACTAACTCCATTCCATAAAAAATACATTCTTAAAAAATATCAAGTACTCTTTTGGAAGAGGTAAAGATATTATCGTGTGTTACCTGTTAAACTTTTGTGTTCCTTTTTTGTAATCTTTGGCTCTTTTGGAAACTCATTCTGAAATAAGTTATAATTTGTTTTATGGATAGTAAAGCTGATTCAGGGGTGAAAGTTTGACTCTTTCAGTTTTGAAGTAATCAATCATTGAATGAAAGCTTTAGGAGATTGATAGCTCTCTATTGAGTTGTAAAATTTTAAAACAATAAGCATTATAGGAGAATAACAGTTGAAAATGTCAATTAAATACCACAACCAAATAGGTTCAAATATGTTTGCTTTTATCTAAAACCTGAGTTCAGTATTGATCAGTTGTGATCTCCCTGCAGTAACTACAACGTGCACACACTTCCCAAAACTTCATAAGAAAGTGGGTGCTTGGCTCTGCTCTCCTATTTCTATTCCCCTGGCACTAGTCCTAATGATATTTGTTACTGAACTGTGATTATATTAATATGGTGATTTTTACATGTAAAATGAAATTCCAGAAACACAGAGCTGGCCTGATAAAAAAATTAAGATTGTCAAAAATATTATTAAGAAACCAGTATGAACAAATGTTTAGTTTGTGAAACATTTGTTCATTAGTTTGTGAAAAGACTGTGTTGTCTACAAACACGAATGTTATTTTCAAATTCAATTTACTGGTTCCCCGTTTGCTTATTGGTGAATCAGATAAGAACAAAAACAACAACAGCAAAAAACCTAAATTAAAGAGAATATCAGTATTGTTATGTTAATGAACCAACAAGTGCTTTTTCCTAGGCTTGGATTTGCTAAGTCCCTGAAGAAATCCCTGAAATTAGAAATTCATTATTATATAATTCATTATATACCTGAACTATAACTTCATAATGTGTCAGTACTGTCATTAAAATATAGTGTCCCACACAAAATAGAGGAGGATATTTCTAACATCAAACCTTACATTAAATACTGAAACTAAAAATATCTTCAATTACAAGCAGAAAGAAGATAAGTTATGTGTATATGGATGTGTGAACTGTGTAGGGTGAGGGGGTGTTGTGTTAAAAGGGTAAGATTACATTTCTATAATATAAACTATCATTTTGGACAATCATGCTTTATCAATCTGAGGGTAAACCTACTTTTATGTATTACATAAAAAATAAGTTGTGGTGAATTTCCCCTGTTTAATCTCTTTTACAGGATTAACAAATACTCTAGCATGATAAGCTAATTTTAACTCCTAAAAAACACTTTAAAAAATTATTTTTAAAGTATTGTAATCTATACGCCTCATTTTAAAGTCCCCTAATTGCCTGATGGTTCACCTTTTTTTCATCGCAGGCATTGGCTTTTTCTCCTTAAGAAAAAAAAGAAAGCAAGAGTTTCTAAGGGTCAATAAATCCTTAAACTATGTTTTTGGGTGAAAATAATTATTACACTTACTTAGGAAATGTAGTTGCTAATTTACTTTGAGCTACAGCTATATCTACTAATAAAACAATTATGTCCAAGAATGCCACTCTATTAAGAGTATAGTATTTTGTCTTCCCATTTACAAATTTTTTATTTTCCAGTAAAACAAAGAGTTTCAAAATAGAAAGTGTCATTTTCAATCTTTGTCTCTAGCAAGGGATTCTTAAAGGCTTGACAAAATAGCCAAGCATTTCCAACAGGTTTCTTCTGTTATTTTCAATGATAAAACGTTAGCTAGAACTACTTGTTTTCTTTAGGATGGCATAAGTATTTTTGAAAAATGTTTAGCAGAACTGTGTTTGCTTTTAAAGTATTAATATATAAAATGCTTACCTTAAAGTAACATTAATGCCTTCATTATGAGAGATGCCAATAAATAAAATTTCAAGGCTTTTAAAACAACTTTTAATATTTAGAAATAAGGGACTTTGTGGAAATAAAACTTTCATAATTACTTATAAAATTTTCTTGTCCTGATAAACATTTTTCATTTTCTTGCCTGTTTTTTCAAACTTCCTACCTTGGAATAATCTTGAAATATGCACTATCTATACTGCTATCTTCCAATAAGGGCTGAAAATGAGAACAACAACAAAATGACCTGATTTAAAAGAAAGTTTTGTTTTGTAAAAACATTTGCATAGTTTTTACATCTAGTGACCTGATACTTGATCCTTATAAAGGCAAATGCCTTTCATGAAAGCACTGGAGGTCTGGGCCTTTAGAATTAATTTTATTTTTATTACACATTAAAGTTGTATTGTTTATGGTATATTTCTATTGTTTGCTGAAAAATAAATCATCCTTTCTTTAAGAAAATACCCAATTTCAATGATTAGCTTCTGGTTGGATTTAAAAGTCACCATTACTGTGTACAATCTAAACAACAACAAGCACAGACAGTTTTGTTGTACCTTTGGTGTCTGTTAATGTGGTCCATTAGAAATACAGGATCTATATGACAGCTTCATGTCACAGAAAACACATGTCACAAAAACACATGTTACAGTACTTGAAAACTTACAAACACTTTAAAAATGAACTTCTGATTCTATTTACTTAGAAATACTAATGCTACATTTGATATTAAGATCATTAGAATTTAAAAAATATCAGTTAAACAGATATTTGAACTAATGTAACAGTAAGACAGTACAAAATGGTTGCCACAATGGCTCAATCTCCGTTTTTCAGCTACTAAATATTACTTCTAAAATTTATACTCAAAATGATTCTTTGAATTTACAGCTTTAGCTGTATGTTTTAGAGAACAAGCTTGAAAGACAAAGTTTTGAGTTCAGCAGAGCCAAACCTCACCAAGAAAAGAATTTGCTGAGAATAAAAGAAAAAAGTCTTCAGATAAGTAACATTAATTTGATTGCACAAGAATTTAATACTGTGTAATTTAAGTTCAAAATCTCCTTGTTTATATAGAACCATGTGCACAATTGGACATGAACACAGTTGTAACAAAATCAAAACCATACATGTGACATTTGCTACTTTATACAATAGCAGCATAAACTATATTTAATCTTAGATAAGTATTAATTCCTTAAAAATAAACTTATTTCTTTGCTTGTGCAAAGAACTACAACGTATTAAAACACTCTTTGTGCTAACAGGCATTTGACACGAAAGATAAAATGCCTTATGCTACTAAGGACTATTTGTATTCAAGTAAAATGTATTAAAATGTTCAAAATTAAAAAACAGACAATAAAAGTAAACAAAAAATTACACAAGTTTGTTCATTACCAGGTATATATTTTAAATGAGGAAATCAAACCTTCCACTTATTTTTTTTCTGATCCATTGAGCACATGGTCCTAGGTCCTTATTATAATGGTCTTATTTTGGAGGCATTACGGTGTGGAAGGTGGTTTGGGAGAAGAACAGGATCCTTGACTATCAAAACTGGTTGCCCGACCAGGTAACTAAAAGACAGTAATTTAAAAACATATTATCTAGTACAGAAATATAACACAGTGGTTTATTGCTACTCCCTTTTAATAGTGAATATTCAACCACAATACACAAGTCTCTAAAGTTCTGCCCTTCAGAACTTACCTTCTCAGGTAGCATGAGGGGACACAAATCTCTCATAGAATACACACTGAACCGGTACATAGATGTACACAGAGCAGCACTGTCAGACAACTATTTATGACTTCAGAATAATTTCACATTTTATGACAGGCTTTTAGCCCTTTTTTATAAAAAAAATTAATGGTTTACTATAGTAAGGGCAATTGCTATGAAAGAGCAATAAGAGGTTCAAGACACGAGAGACAGCATTCCATTTGTTCTAAGGGAAAACCTTGGAACTAGGTATTGCATAAAGTCATAGTAGAAACACAGAGAGGTTAAAGTAACTTGCCCAGGGTTCCACAATAAGTCGTCACATAGCAGAGCCAGGCCTTGAACTTGGGTAAGTTGATACTTCAATATTTTTAAAATCTGTGAGCAATTTTACCTCCTAATCTGAATTGAGGAAGACATATCTGTCCCCTTACACAGAAAAGTTGTATTAGGTGACAGTTCCTATATTAAGGAATTTTGGGAGAACTTTAGGTAAGGTGGCTGTTTTCACAAAAAAAGAGCACAACAATTCAGCTTCCGGTTTCTCATAAACTTACTAGATTGCTCCAGCACTCATTGATGTAAGCTTTCAGGCTATGCAAAGAAAAAAAACAGACTTGCAGTTTTTATTTTTATTTATTTATTTTTGTCCAAAGGAATATGAAGCCCAAGAATTGTAGTGGTTTTTAAATCCTAAAAGGCATATAGAACTTTAAATATGAAATGTTAGAGACTATGGGCCAAAAGCAAGAGCAATCTTTTAAAATCTTTTTTGACAAAGATGAATACACAAAATATCAGATAAAGGTTAACAAATAATATAAGCAAAAGAGATAACAAATAGAGTACATGTCAGGAACTCATGAGCTTACCTCCAGCAAAGGGTGCCAGTGTGTGATTGGTTTTCGGTGATAGGCCAGCATTTCATTCCAGTGGTCTCGCCCAAGACCCTCGGCATCCAGTCCTGTCCTACACACTCCTATGACCTCATTGTGTCCCACCCTATGATTCGTAGAATATTACACTTTCATTTCCAACATTCAAAGATAGATGGAGTTTCACACATCTCAGTAGAATTTGAAACATATGATTAAAGCACCAGAGTCTGTAATTTTGCAGCTTATATTATATCAGATCAAAGAAAAATCTTAAGCAAATCAAAATTTACTAAACAGTATCAAAATTAAAAAAATAAATTTGTGTAAGAAACCATCGCATTCCATTTTGGTGCTGTGTAAATTGAGTACATTTCATAATAATAAAAATGGTGTCAATGAAAAATGCCAGTAGGCCCTTACCCATATGATGAGTTGCTTTCTTGGAAGTGTCTTATTAAATTTATGTAAATCAAATATTGTTCTTCCCAAAAGGATTAATGCTTTATAATGATGTTTAGACTTCCCACCAAATGCAAAGTACTCATGTTTTGGTACATAAAACCATATTTAATCAACTCTAAATGATGTGTCAGTGTGTGTTACTGCTTGAACTATACTTAACAGGGCAGTGCTATGCTCAGTTCCATGGCATTTGACTTATTATTGCATAACAGAGAGCATACTGGACATTTCTATTTCCCATCATATCCTGCTTAAACAGCAATTAATCAAAATAATAACAGTTAATATTTTGGGGAGCTTATTATGTGCCAGTGTCCTAAGTAACTTAAATGACCTACTTAATCCTTACACCAAGACCATTATTATGGTCTCATTTTACATATAAATAAAGTGCCCAGAAGGTTAGGGAGTGACCTGACTTTATACATTTAGTAAGAGACAAAGGCAGAAGCTGAATAAGGGCAGTTGACACAAAAGTACATGTAGTGAAATTGCTTTCTAAGAACAGAATGTAATTTAAAGAAATTGCTACAGGGCTATTTTGACAGATATCTCTGAAGAGATTTTTGAGATGTTTTTAGAACATTTCATTACTTTTTTCCTGACCTCGATGCAAATATGTATATTTAGCATTATTTTCCTTAATATGAAGTTTCCCAAACAAGCATATTTTTAGAAATAAAACTTTAATCTTCCTGTTTTGCATCTTGTTAGAATCCATTTCCCTAGAATTTCCCAGATGACAAATGCTCAACTATATCCACCTGCACTCATTGCTGTGAGAAATCAATAGAGGTAATTGGTAAGGCAGAATAGGGAGGCTGATGAAAACATTTGCAACATTTTAGAGTTTGAAGTTTCATTCTAATTCAAGATTTCTTTCTCTCTAAATAGTCACAGGTTAAAAAAAATTCTTAGATATAAATTCATTTCAAATAGATGATGTAAATCATTTTATTTTTCAGTGCTTTTCTCCCTCTAGCTCTGGGTCAGAGGATAGCAAGTTAATTTCCCTAGGGTCCTGGTTACTACCATTTCATGATATGGACACTCTTTTTGTGTGTTTGTGTATGTGTGCTGTGTACCACTGATGTCACCATTAGAACATTAGAATAAAATTAATGTAGTAAGGCACTGTCTATGTGCTGATAATTTTGTAGGTTAAAGATACAGTTTGCCTTTCCAAAAAATTTATCAATATCAAAAGCAAAATGATAAAAATAAGAGTATAGTAAGTCCCAAATAAGAGAAATAAACCTTTAGTAGGACAAGAGTTCAGAGGTTGGTCAGCCAAGAAAGGCTTAAAGAGGTGTTGACATCAGCAAGGCTATGGAGTGCTGGCGGGATAAGACACAAGAGCAGAAGGACTTTCTAAATAAAAGGGAGAGTGGGAGGGTGAGGCAGGAGCTGCAGCATGAAGTTTTAGAGCTGCATCGGGGAGGCTGCAATTTATGAAAGGCAAATGGACTCAAAGTGTGTGAGCTGAAAGAACTTTCTATAAAGCAATGTGTTAACATTAGTGTGAAAGCATCAATGCTGCAGCACCATGGCCACTCTTCACCTGCCACTCGTGATCCTCCCTGCTCACAGTTCTAATCGTGTTAAGGTTTTACAAATGGGAAAAGTGAATTCCAAAGTGATTCTGTAACTTGCCCTCTCACACAGCGAGTTGATGGTAGAGCTCGGGTAAGCATCATGATACATTTCAGCTCAGTTGGCAAAACCAACTCTGTTGATTGTAATCTTTGTTATTACTGTAAAATGACTCCACATGACTGCCTACTTTAATGTATTGCATACTACTTCTGGATGCATTCTTTCATTGCCCCAGGTAGGTTTTAATAGAAAAAAATGACTTCTTTTGGGGGAAAAAAAATCCAGAAAACAATAAATTTCAAAGGAATCGTTTCACTCTTCACCATTTTAAATTATAACTGTTGTGGCAGCAAATGACCCAAGAAGCTAAATTTGGCCCTGCATATGAGTAGACACGGCTGCTCTTCAGTGAGTAGAGAGATACACGTACCTATCATAATCCATGACCGCAATGGAGAGGCTGACCTGGTCCACATTCTCTGGAGGGATGTCAAAAATAATGGCCTCATTGTACACGGGGTTTAGAGTGTTTTTCTTCGTAGTTGTTTTCCTCTTTTTTAATCTTCGACCCTCACACATCAGAGACACTTTGACGTAAGGATCTAGAAGTAGGAAGGTAATTTTATTAATAGTACAAAGCATAAGCAAAACTGTAGTTAATTTTCACTAAATAAGAAAACTGGCATATTAAGCCCTTTAGTATTACTGGTTTTAAATCCAAATGACTTTTTTGGATGACAACTGATTATTTAAGACTTCTTACTTTAAATGTAAATTATTTATCCTGAATAAACTAGAAAAAAATTAACTGGATCTCTCTGTTTCTAATGCAAGAGAAAACCAACAAATTTATTAAGCCAATTTAGAACTGTAATGCAATTATTAGCCACAGATATTTGAGGACACATTTTGTTAGAAGTTGTTTAGGGGGAATGTAACCCTAGTAAGAATAACTGTCGTAAGGTAGTTACTTTAATTTAGAATAAGAAGACTAAAACCCATGAAAGACTTAGAAACACTGTGTCTATACAGGTATAAATAATTATGATGAGTAAAAATCAGAAAGCAAGAACTAAATTATGCTTGGAATTTTTCTCAATTGCTGGAAAAGATACGAAGCATCATTTTAGTCATAGTGTTAGTGTTTGATAGGAAGCTTGTATTGAAGCACTGATCCCTACAAATAATTTACTACATGAACAAAGGGAAAAAATTGGTTTAAAGATGGCCACACAGAAGGCTCCTGATATGACATTGTCTATATGATGTCAATTAGACAATGGGCCAAAGGAATCATAGTTGTTAACAAGTTCTACTACAGCTGACTTGACTTGTATCCTTTTACCCTTACCAGAATAGAAAAATTGTTACAGTGTTATAGAAGATTATATGATATCATAAAAAAATTCTAACAAACCTTACTTTTGTACCTTTTTATTCAAAGCAGGCATGGCTTTGGGAGGTAGTGCTGGCAAAGAGGTAAGCATGAAGATAGCTAAAACAATCGGTGTCTGCTCTATTTTCATTTTTTTTTTTTTCATTCTGGCCATCTTTCCACTGTAGTGCCACCGTTTCTCCCCCCCTTTTCTTTAGTAATAAATTTTATTTCCTTTGAATAAGCCAATATGATGGTAGCATTAAACCTGAGCAGGTGAATGCTTCTTAAACTCTACAAAAATGTGTTTGTATATTTCAAACACACTTCCATTAAGGAACAAAATGTATTCTGAGGCTAGAAATAGGGTATATAGGGGAAAACAAGATAACAGGTCAATGTTAATATCTATTTCCCATTTATTTTCAAATTTTTTAATGTTAGGAAGGTGTTCTAAGGAAGAAGCTCTCTTCTATGATACACTTTTGAGCCCTCAGGCCTTCTCATTAACCATGGGGATGAGGCATGGATTATCGTTTGCTACTCCCATCACGTCTCTATATCTCTCTGCTTGTGACAGGATAATTTACTGCCTCCTTAGTTGATATGCAAACCTGTTGTGAGGATTAATGAGGTGGTGCTCTTAAATCATGAGCTCCTCTGATGAAAGCTTTATATAAATAAAAAGTAATCTTGTATTTAATTACAACTTTGATGCTCTTTTCTTGTCTTAAAATTTTATCTCTTTTCATACATGGAAAAAAAAGAGTAGAATAAACAATAATTTGCAAAGTACATTATTTATCTTAAATTCTCAACATTAACTGATCCAACATTTTTTCACCAAATTAACATAGAATTTACATGCTGTTCTACCTTTACTACACACTATGTATTGTGAATTTTACAAAGGAAGAGGCTGGGTACGGTGGCTCATGCCTGCAATCTCAGCACTTTGGGAGACTGAGGCGAGAGAGTTGCTTGAGCCCAGGAGTTCGAGACCAGCCTGGGCAACATAGCAAGAATGCATCTTTACAAAAATAAATAAATAAATAAATAGGCAAACAAACATCATAACATAGTGCAAAAATGAAGATATCAAGATGATAGAGTTGCACACTAAAAAATATTTCTCTTATTTATCTCCCTCCTCTTCACCCCTTGGTTTTTGTGTACCACTCCACCAGTATTCTTATGCAAATATTAGCAATATGGCTGTATGTTCTAAAATTCCCCTTTCATATACAGAAGGATGTGTAATAGTCATGTTTGTTTTTGTATCTTCTCTTTTACTCACTTATCTATCTTGAAGGTATTTCCACACCAGAACTTAGAGTTCCCTTATGCTTTTTGTGATTTGAACATGGTTTTCTTTCTTGTTCTGAGGAACCTCAAATTTATAGACTCCCCCCACAAAATTTCATCCTTTACTATATCTCTACTACTATTTCTTATTTCTGTTTAACTTAACAAATACTTACTGACCTTCCTTCCCTTTATTTATCATTTTCCTCTCACAGAGTTGTGCAACTGTTCACATATTAAATTATAAATACTCCTCCAGCTCTTTAAGTGATTTAAAGGGCTGAAAGAGCAAGATATAGCTTTATCTCTTTATTAAAGATAGCCCAACAGAAATTTCCTTCAAAAATTGCTTTCAGAAACCTCAAGAAGCATTCATTTATTTTATTATTTCTTTCAGATCCTACAGATGCCTAAATTTTTAGTTAGAAAGATGGCAAGAATGCAAATGTAGATGGTGGTCTTGGAACATGGCTGTTTCTCTTCAGATGAGGTGAGGTAAATAAATTCAAACTAAATCTGTCTTCATATGGCCCTCACCCACAGCTTAAAGTCTAGGAATCTTTCTTTGTAGACAACTCACTAGCTGGAAGCAGAGGACTGAGTGTTAAATTAAGTATTTTTGAGATAGAACTAAATGGTAGAGAAAGAAATAAAAGTAAAAATCCAAGTTCAATCTAATTCATCTACTTTTTAAAGTTTCTTAATGATAATGTAAATAAAACAGGTAATTAAAAAAATTTTAATTTGTAATCTTTTTTTACCCCTTTTTATCGTATCCCAATACAGACAAATAGTTCAATGGCCACGTATAATTTTAGTTCCTGGAATATTTTATTTGGGAATGTGCCCTTGACCCTCTGGTCAATTGTGTACATACCTGATGAGCCAGTAATATCCATTGCCTTCAGATTCCTGCACTTGATGACTGTCAATGTCATACGCCCAGCCGTCGGTAAATAACAAAGGGAAAACATAATTTCACCCAGATCTATACTTTCCTAGAAAAGCAATCGGTAATGTTAGCAATTTAAAACACCAAAGAGTGAAAACAACATTCATATAATGAAAGACGTTGAATTAAAAAAAGTCACTTTAATAAAATATTGAAATGTCATTTTATATTCGTTTATTGAGGATACAGATAACATGGCAAAACAGCTGTTCTGAATGTAGTAAGAACAAAGAATGTTGAACCTAACACAGTCAAAACCAGGTTGCTCACTCTACCCTTTCCTATCTTATCTTCCAAAACCAATTCCTCTGTCAGCATTTCCACAATCAACAAATAGCATCACAATTCATTCCGTGGCTGAAGCCAATAACCTAGTAGTCACTTTTATTTGTATTTTCCCCTCACTGCTATGTCCAACTCATGGGCAGTCATGTCTACACTATTACAAAATATATTCTAAGTCAGTGAATTTCTCTTCAGCTCTACTACTACCATTTAAGTTACCATCACCTCTTGTTAGGATTACTTTACTAGCCTCTAAAACTGATCTCTCATTCCAGAAGTTAATCTTCACACAACAGTCAAAGTGATCAGTTATGAGATGCAAATCAAATTATATCACTCTCCTACTTAAGACCACCTAAGGATTCACAACTGTACTGGAATAAAATTCGAACATCTGGGCTATAATCTCAGCACTTTGGGAGATCAAGGCAGGAGGATTGCTTGAGCACAGGAATTTGAGACCAACCTGGGAAACATAGTGAGACATCATCTCTATAAAAAATTACCCAGGCGCGATGGCCATGCCTGTGGTCCCAGCTACGAGGGAGGCTGAGGCAGAAGGGTCTCCTGTGTCTAGGAGATTGAGGCTGTGGTGAGCCGTGATTGTGCCACTGCACTTCAGCCTGGGCAACAGACTGAGACCCCCCCAACACAAAAAAAAAAAAAAAAAAAAAAGGAAAAAAATTCAAGCATCTTACCTTGGAATTTAAGTACTTTTCCCCCTTATATCTTTATATGGCTGACTTCTCACCATATGGGACTCAGCTCAAATAACACTCCTCCAGTGAGGCCTTCATTGTAAGGTGCAACAACCCCTTCCTTTCCTATATTCACTCCACTCTCAGATCCTTCACAGGTTTTTTTTATAGCACTTATCACTGTCTGATATAATCTTTTAAATTCTTTTTGTCCCCTGACCCTCCTACATAACATCCAGGAGAGCGGGTTTCTTGGCTGTCTTATTTTCTACATCTTATTGAAGTGCCTGGTGCATGGCTGGTTCTCAGCATAGTTTTTTTGAAGGAATGAATGTTACTTAATTAATCTGGCTAAAACCTGAACTGTGTTTTGTTTGTTTATAAAACATAACTTCCCACAGTACCCTGATATAGATTTATATGTTGTCTTTGACTGTATAGATGGTGGAAAATGAAAATGAATGTGGACAATGGAAAATTTAAGATGCCCTTCAAAGAGTCATTTACAGGATTCAATCAAATCATTCCTCATAAGACAATTTGTCATAGGTTTACCTTTGGAAGAAATAAATTGCTGACTATGCACCCAGGTCCACAGAACTAGGCTTTTAAAGTTTCTTCACACTGAACTGTTAACGTCATTGTGTTTAACTCTTAAAGCTCAGATATGTTATTCTTATTTCTTCACCATGGTCTAGAAAGTTTAGGGCCTAGTAATTAAGAGTTAGTTAAACTTGAGTTTGACTCTCCTCACTTTTCTATTTCCTAACTGTGAGATTTCGGGAAGTTAAAGGAAGCTTTGAATCTTTGAAACTTCATTTTCACATTGAGGATAATGCTTACTTCACAGGGGCTGTAAGCATTAAATGAGATAATATAAATAAAGCATAACGCATTTAACACAGTGTCTGGCATATGATAAAGAATGTTGTTTTATGGGAGGCTGAGGTGAGTGGATTGCCTGAGTCTGCGGGTTCGAGACCTGCCTGGGCAACTTAGTGAGACCTCATCTCTACAATAAATCAAAAAAATTAGCTGGGTGTGGTAGTGCATGCCTGTAGTTCCAGCTACATGGAAGGCTGAGGCGGAAGGATCGCCAGAGCCCAGCAGGTCAAGGCTGCGGTGGCTGGGAGCGGCCACTGCACTGTAGTCTAGGCGACAGAGTAAGACTCAACTCAAAAAAAAAAGAATGTTGTTTTATTCACTGCTGCATTGTTAGCACAGAGTGCGATATCTTACATACATTTCAGGTGCTCAATAAGCAAAACTTAATAATTAGAAGCAGTTATTATTTTTGCAAGAATATTAGCATACAAGTATTTTGAATCAAAAGTACACAATTGAGTCTCCTCCAGGCTGATGAATTGCTGCAGATTAAGTCCAGGGAGTAAGATCCCGTTGGAAAGGGCCAAGAAAAAACAGGAAGACCACAACCTCCTACTAAGGAAGAGCCTAATTTGTCACCACTTAACAATTTTGAGTAGTATTTGCTAGTCACAGCGGTAGGCATTGTGGACACAAAGACAGGCATGGCATGGTTTTGTGCTTGAAGTTCTCAGTTGAGAAGGTAGGCTATAAAAAGCTAAGAAAATAAGTCTGAATACCATTTTTATCTGATGATTCTCTCCTTGTGTCTCTTTCTGTTTCTCTTTCCAAGTGTTAGGCTTAGTCTACGGGCTGAACTTTTCTGTCTGATAGCCATTCCTATTTCTCTTATTGGATATTTCTCCTTTCAGTTGCTATCAATAGTTGGAGGCATATTTTGTTTCCAGTTGATCAAATTAAGGGATCTTTCTATGAATGTAGAGCATGATACCAGCTTCTACCAAGAAATATGGTGGGGGTGATGATGAAGAAGCCAGGAAAGAAATGAGAGTCCAACAGGAAATGCACCACATGAAAACAGAAAAAAAGTACACAGAGTTATCTAAAAGGATTAACAAATAAAACACATTTCCACGTGTCTGATGGATATGGTGTTATTTTTATACACTAAACCATCTGTGAAGGTAATTTCTCTACTTTTTAAAATTTACTACAACATGCTTATTGAATGGAACAAGAAAAGTTTGGTTCCATCTCTCAAAGATCTTTTCTATGGATTCAGTTGCAAGATAATTTTGACTATCTATTGTTGACAGGTATTTGATAAACCTGGAGAAGTTAAACTGAGGATTTGATCAAAACATGAACCCAAATAAATGAGAAGCACAGAGTGCCATTAAAGGGCATCTTCCAGCAGCTTTGTATTACAAGCTGGCTGGCTTTATGCCGACTCCAATAGTAAGAACTCTACTTGAATAATCACACCTCATGTAATCAGAAGTTTTAAGGATACTGAAATGAACTAGGTGGCAAAAATAAATGTAAGAGATGCATGTATAATAATGCAAAAAAAAGTTTAAGTCTTCATTAGGCTAAATTTTTTCTATCCTGAAGAATGAATGTAAAAGAACAAACTGCCTACATACTGCAAAGGGCAGAATACTCTAAGGTAAATACCAATATTCTTAAACTTTTAAATCTGGAAGTGATCTGAGAGCTAATTATGAGAAAATAAACTTAATGAAGGTAAACGACTGCATGACCTTAATAAAGGTCCTATAACGTCTAATGTGAAACTCTAGATTTTGGCTTCATTGCTCTGAGCTACTAAGTGCATTAATTCTCAGGAGCCTCCACTGATTCTGTTCCCATACTAATACTCCAGCACCAGCAAGTTGATGAAGTTTTAACTGCCTCTTCTCAATCTGCTCCATACCACTGTGGTTTCTAAGGCCATCCTCAGCCCAAACAATCCAACTTCTCTAGTGCCCAGACAAGAATCAGAAAACAAGTTGAAAGATTTCTAAACATATAGCATAAATGTAAGAAAACTGTACCTTAAGGTGCTTTTACATAAAAAGACCACACCATTTCTTATTCAACACATTTTTACTATTATTTTAGATATAATTCTAACAAGAATGTTTGCTTGATATATCAATCTACAGCAGGCCAAAACTCACACATGAAATGTGGAGATGGGATATTAATAGCTGTAATGTGTAGTGAAGGCAACAATAAAGAATAGCTACAAAGACACAAAATTGATTTTTTTAAAAAAGCACAAATTCTGAAAAGGATAGCAATCTGGAATCATTTTGTATTAAGGAGGCCTAATCATAATAATTTCTCAATAACATAAACTTTTAGCATTTTATTACAGATGTAAACAGTAATTAATATTCAAAGTGATGACTTTGAGTCATCAAAGAAAGGAACTATATGATAGGCTCTGTTTCAAAAGGTACACTATTTTTCAGTATTATTTTTATTCAAAATGCTTACAATGTTTAAAGTGGTAATTTCAGCTTGAAATGAGTAAGGTTTTGAGTTTCTGAAAACTTTATTTATGTGAAATCTCATTTTTTGCAAGTTTATATAAATCTGAGTTTCCCAGATTAACTTTTGAAAAATTCTTGTGTCTTTGAAGAAATAACCATTTGAAAGCCTGCTGTAAAGTCCAGTTAGACTATAGTGTTCCATAAAATTCCTTTCACATACGATCTTTACTTTATTCTCATACACACTAATTTATTTAGCTGAACATTCACAGTGACAAACTTCTGAGTCTATACTTGGAAAAGGGGTTCATGACAAAAGGCTAAGCTGGGTCAGGAGTTTGGATACTTGATTTCTTTATCTTTGCTCCACCAAAACGGAGTGAGTAGATAAAGATCAGTTTCTCATGATTGACTATAGTCAACTTCACAGACATAGTCAGTATACTTTTTTTAAAAAATGTATTCTTTCTTCCAAATAAAAATAAAAGTCCCTGGAAAGATAAGTTGATATGCAAATATAAGCATTGCACATTCTATTACAGTACTAACTGAACTAATAGTAAAATCAAGTTGTAGCAATTGAGTGTGAGATAGAAAGGAGGTTGATTAAAGGTTTCACAACTAGAGGGTTTAAGAATTGAGGGAGGCATTTCTAGCGGGAATTAATAGTTACATTTGGGATTTCACAGGGACAAAGAGGAACAATGTTGAGCTAGGCTTGGTGGCTCAGCCTGTAA